TGAACGTGATCAGATTAGGTAACATTGTATTACATTTTTTCTTGTTATATATAAATTTTATTCGTAAATTACGTACGTTTTAAAAATTTTAGCCCCCCGTAAGATGAATTCCTGGCTCCGCTAATATATTTGCTGATAAAAGAAAACATAAAATTTTGTAAATGTTAGTGATAGTTAAGAAATGACTAGAGTATTGAATGGATTTTCATAATTTATTGAAATTGTCAAACAAAGTATGTACATATTCATTTCATTTATTTTAATATATAAAATTCAATGGTATTGTTCTGTATGTACAAGTATATATTTGTATGTGTGTATGTACACGTGTGTGTATATTGTACAATAATATTAATTATAATTAGTTTACCGGATTATTGGCAGCAACACCACCGTCTACAAGGTTGAACTCTTGCACATCCCCTTGTTTATATTGGTTCTTGAAATAACATGCAGGAAGATAAGTTGGAGCCACAGATGTGCCAATGCATATATCTGAGAGTTGAGCGTCCAACGATGGCGTCCTGATGGCCTGTATATGCACATATATGGACTGAATTACATTAAATTCCGTGTTTGTCTAAATTCTTTTTGTACCCTAAGTAAATGTAGCTCAAGTTCTAGTCAAACGAGTTGTTCATGAACAATGTAAAATTTGAAATCTGGGAATATCATTTTAAAAATATAGATTTTAGAGTGATTCAGGCGGACATAAAGACTAAGGGACGTGAGATTGATGATAATGACACCTTGTTGCATAAAAATTGTAACCGTCATTTTTATGCATGAAGTCTCAATTTCACTCCAAACATAATATGTTATCTTTTTAAACGAGAAAGATGGTGAAATGCAATATCTTAGCTCTTTTAAATTGTTCAAGTGCTTTCAAAGATAATAGAAAATGTTACAAAAATTGTAACCCAGTGCACAAAACGATACGTATCCATTTTAAATGACACGGTGTTGATTTCACGAATTTCACATTTATTCTTCTTCTTGTCTACTCATACGAGGCAAGAATTAATGAAAATACATTCCTGCTACATTTAGAAATCAGGCCCCTTCTAATGTTGTTACTTAGAGGTCATGCAATGACACACGATTGAGGTTCCTTGTAGTAACGAAATTGACTTAAATTCTATTAAATTTATCATTAAAAGACAGTGAACATTCTTAGCTCTTAATTGTTTTAAATATTTTCAAATATAAGCAAGGATTTATGGAGTGAAATCACGACCTGTGCACAAAAATGACGCTTATAATTTATAAACGACAAGGTACACTTTTCACCAAATTCACGTCTGTTTGTCATTATGTCCTCTCGTATGGACCTATAATTTATGAAAAGACATTTATTTTATATTTAGAAACCATTCTCGATCCAAAGTTATTATTTAGAAGTTGATACATCGACACATAATTGAGTATTTGTATACTAGCTATTCATTCTCTCAAATTCTATTAAATTCGTCAACTTGTTGCCTCAAATTCTATTAAATTCATCAATACAAGATAGTGGAACACAACATCTTAG